CCCCAAAACCCCAAAACCCCAAAACCCCTAAATGACAATTTTATTTCAAAGCGTGAGTCGAAATATTTAAATTTAAAACCATATGTCAATGATTAAAATTAGTAAAGGTTACTAAAATTCCAAGAGCAAATAGAAATAGTCCATCAATGAAGGCTACAAATAGGAATGGGTAAGATGGTCCGAACTCATTGTATAAGTATGCTCCTGCTTTTGTAAATGCCAGAATTCCAATAGTTCCGATTAATTGATATGCTCCTGTCAATGAGCCTCTAATATCTTTAGGAAGATTTTTTGAAAAAACAGCATCTGTCAATATATTCTATGCTGAATGAGTAATAAACATAGTGATATACACGATTTTTGTTCCTATCGAATTAGGGTTTGTCAATTAAAAGAAGCAATAGATTGAAAATATTTTAAGTATTGTGAAGAATGCCATCAAGTGCTTGTACTTATATTTATCAGCTATGTAACCCAAAGGGATAATTAAAATTAAGATAGTCAAAGTAGAGTAGATGCTGTAGTTTTGTACTATTTCCTAGGCTTGCTAAGAATCTTTTATATAAGCAGTTCCAATGAAACTAGATGTCCACAAAGTCATGTAGCTTGAAAGCATAATAATATTTGCCCTGATTATAATATTTGCAAAGAAGCACATTAGAATAATACTTTTATGAGAACATTACCAAATTATTTGCTTAGTAAGCTTTTTAGCTTTAGTAAATGCTTACTCATCCTCGTAAACCTTTTCAAACTATAAGCTTTCATTTGAAGTTATCAAATGTCTCTGAATTGCTGACTTTCCTCTGATAGAATAGACATATGGTTCTTTAACAATGAACCAGAGAATAATAGCAATTACTACAAATAATGTACCAACGAACTAAAACTATTGCCCTACTTTCAATCCAGAGATTGAAGGCAATATAGCGAAATAATTTAGCATATCACCGAAGATTGTACCAAAAGCTTGGAGTGCGCTAGCTTTACCTCTTGAATCATTTTTTACATAGTCATTTATTAATGGATGCTAAGTTGATCCCACAGTAACAATTGTAAAAATAGCTCTTACTATGTAAGTTATAGGATATACATTTGGTGCTCCTATTGGCATCATTATTAAAACAAAGCCAACCCCCAAAACATTTAATGTAATTGATTTTCTTCTTCCGTAGATGTCATAGATATATCCAAAAGTTATAACCGCTATCAATTAAGTAAACATCGAATAAAAAATAATGTCGCTGCTTACAATACCAATGTTCTCTTAGGGGATATTATAGTAAAGTGGATCTCTCAATAGGAAAATAACTTGAATAGTAAAAAAAAAGACAGAAATTGTTAGGCTAACTTGAATTAGAGGAATTGCCAGTACATTGGCTATGCTATATCTCTTCTTGATACTCATTCCAAGGAATTTTTTATCATTGTTTGCTTTATTATCAATGTCTTAAATATAATGATAGGATTGATCATTAGATTTGTTTTCAATATTCATCTTAATTGAAAATTATTATATTTATTATTATAAACTTTTCTCATTAATTATTTTATTTCGTTATTAGAATTAGCTACTTATACTACAACTATATTTCATTTTGCTTAGTAATCTTCGATTTATGGATAATGGGGTTTTGGGGTTTTGGGGTTT